GATGAAAGGTGCCTGTTAATTTCCAAAGTCTGTGAAAGAAGTCTTGCTCAAATACAGATGCTTTTGGTTATTTAAATTAGTTCTATTTCGGGTACATAAATGATTTGTAGAATGTGGTCTTAATGATCTTCACAATATTCCTTTCTCCAGAACTTTTTATCATCTTTCTTCATAAACTTTGTTTTTAAGTGAATTTAGAGGGGATGTGACTATATAAACTACTAATGAAGGAGATAGCCACAGCTACAATGTTGTGTAGACTGCATACAATTACTTCTTAAAAAGAATCAAAATGCACAACTTGATAGAATTATCTATATTTGTTTCTTATACTGTTTTGACACAGTAGTTCTTCAGATGTGTAGGTTGATAGATAAATTTTCTTGTATTGTGTATGTCTATTAAGATAAAACACCTGACAAAAAATATTCAACTTTTATTTTCTTTATATACATAGGCTTTAGTGTGATGATGGAGACTATACTACTTCCGAAGCCATTTGGGATCATGACCTGGTACTTGATAGCAGGATATTTTTTAAACTGTGGAAAAAATGGAAATTGCTCCTAAATATTTTGGGGTTTCTCAATAAAACTGGAACTAAACAACTATTAAGCTCTCTGACTCTGGAAAATTTGTTCTTGAACATTTTCTGTGCATGACATTAAGCCAAGGCCTTTTTGTGAGAGCCAATTCAAAAGGATTTGGGGCTTTTTCCTTTCTGTGACAGGTCACAAGTTGTAATCCTGCACTGCCATGAAAGAGGACCTAAGTGTGTTCATAGACATGTTAAAAAGGTTCACAGGTGCTCTTTTGACTTTTGGAGGCCTTCCTTTTTCCTATATATTCATGAAGGATATATTAAAGAGTACACACAATATTGGGATTCGTGTTTGAGTGGACACCCTGACTTTGGCCATAAGAGATGTGACACTTCAGCTCTCAGGTCCTTTCACGTGATAACACGTGCACCAACACAGACAGTGAAATAATGACTGAATGTCCTACCAAATTGTCCTGTGTCAGCCTTCAGACCTGAAGATTTGTTCTGATGTGCAGTGCCTGGGGAACTACAGATGCTGGAGCAAAATGAATTTGCACTGTGAACACAACCCTCCTTGACCAGGGGATTTTAATCTCAGTTCTGAGTCATTGAGAGATAAATAAACACATACGGAGATATGGAAAAAAGGGAAATATATTTTGGCAAAAAAAATTTCCTTAATGGAGTAAATTTTTAAATCCAAGTCTACTTTCTTTATAAACTACATTGCTAGTCTTAAACACACCGCTGTTTCTGTAACAGACTCTTGCTTTAGGCAACCTCAGAGTCTGATCAGGCTAAAAACTAGGCTGTACCTTAAAAATCCCATTGGGAAGAAGAAAAACGAATGCTCCACTAGTCCAGTGTGGAAATCAATGATGAAACTGAATTTTGGAACTTTGCCATGGATGTACTCTTTCCTTCAATGATCCATGTTCAACAAAGGGCATGAAATTAATATAAGCCATTTATAAAAACCCACAGAATGCTTGCACTCTATCATTTTTTTCCAGGCACAAAATGCTTATCAAAAACGTTTCTTTCCATGACATCTAACATTTTCTTCCTGACCTTTGAAAATCAGCATTGATAACAGAAGGCATGCTGGGAATTAACTCTACCAAAGATAAGGCCTTATAGGAAAGCTTGCTATGGTATAAGGATGTTGTTACACAACCTTGCTATACTGCTAAAATAGTGGCAAACAACATCTCACCCTAAACACAAAAACACTTCTTTCAGATAAATTATGCAAATTTAATTTCATTTTTAGCTGCATTTCTCCTGTGACTGCCTGGTCGAGTAGATCCTTGAAACAGAATCCTTCTAAATAAACGCACTGTTGCTAAATGCATTTGCCACGGCAGAAGTCTGAAATTACAAAAAATTAATCTTCTTCAAGGTCATGCTTGCTTGGAGTTACTGGCTCTGGAAAGAGCTACAGAAGGGCCTGGGTTTTGTGCCCTCAGTAGAAGTTGGGGATGATGGAGAGGGAAGAAAGAACCATTAACTTCTGAAAGAACCAGCATCATCTTTAAGATGGAAGCACCGTGCTCCAGTGGTTGACTTTGCAATCAGTCTCTTCCTAGTGACACACAATGGAGGCTCCAGGCTGGTGTTTTCCAAAGGTTTTGCTTAATGTCACAATGTTTCCACCAGTTTACTTGTAAAATTAAAGCCCCTGGGAAACACAAAAGCGAGGTAGAAATAAAAGCCAAGGCATTATGTTTCTCTTGGGATTATTAATATAGTTTGGAATCTCTGTAATGGACTCAAAGTACTTACCAATCATGTTATCTGAGGTTTCACTGTTCACAAAGGAATTACCTCCCTGAGATAAATGCAGATACATTGGAAAGAGCACACTTTTGTTCAGGCTAGTAAAAAAATTATATGCTCGAATAAATGAGAAAATTTTCATCATATGGAACATGAGAAGAGAATGTCACTGATTATACCTCAAATACCAGTGGGAAAACTGCCAAGAAGGCCTTTAAGAACAATACATTTATTGACTGTTCCATTTGTGTAACAGTCGTGAAACTCCAGATGAGTATTTGGGTTTTCAGTTTGCAGTGGACAGAAAATGAGACAACTCCCCCCATTTACAATTCAGGGCTGATGAACAGAAAGGGATTGTGTGGTTGTGAAGGCAAAATAGCTCTCTCAAATGTTTTGACATCTCTAATTCAGGTGTCTGCTTTATTCAGTGAATAGTGATGTCACCCAAGGTTGGCATCTAAGTAAGATGAACCTGAAGGTTACTCACCACTGAAAGACTAAACTTGAGAAAAAACTTCTTTACAGTGAGGATGATCAAGCACTGGAACAGCTTACCCAGAGAGATTACAGAGTCTCCATCTTTGGAGACATTCAAAATCCAACTGGGCTCAGCACTGAGCAACCTGTCCTAAGTGACAGTGTTTTGAGCAGGAAGACTGAACTAGGTAATGATCCCATTCCTGTGGAAGGCTGGACCAGGTGATCTTTTGAGGTCCCTTCCAATCTGAGATGTTCTGTAATTCTGGGAAAATAAACTATAGGAACAATTTCTGAAGAGTCATGACAGAACCTCAATTCACAGAAATGTTATTACCGGGCAGGATGTTGTTCTGAATCATTCACTTGGGTTTACAAACAGCTCTTACACTTGAATGGGGAGTTGATTCACAAGGTTTCAGTGTATATTAGGCAGAGAGATGAATGACAAGCATAATAGGACTTAGTCTTTACCTTATGATCCATTGTTCACTGATCACCTGCATATAATCTTTTCATTAGTAGTGGTTATAACAATTATGCTACTAATGCTTGTTTTCTCATATAACAATTAGAGCTTCCCATTGTAATTAATTCAATTGTCATATCTGTCAACAAGTAAAATAATGCAAATCTCATTTTATGCCTTTCCAATGTAACCAATATTAAAATCACACAAGCTTAGAATAGTTGTGCAGGATCTCTGAAGCCCATCTGGTCCATGTTTAACCTCGTGTCTGTGTTGTAAAAGAGTCAATCTCTGCCTTTCCCCTTTCAAACATAGTGGCTGTTTGCTGGTCTTACTCCTGTTTGTTAAAGTCTTTCTTGCACTGGGGACTCCAAAACTGGACACAGTAGTCCTGACACAGTTTCTAAGTTGCTGAAAAAGTGGGGACAATCACTATTTTCAGTACTCGCGCTACGTGGTGACTAAAGCAGTGCCCTCACTGTTGCAAGGGAGCACTGATGACTCATATGCAACTTGTCCTGGAGTCATAGAATCATTTACGTTGGAAAAGACCTCTAAGATCATCCCTGTCCATGGCAGGAGGTTTGGAACCAGATGATCTTTAAGATCCCTCACAAGCTAAACCATCTTATGACCCACAAGTCCAATCCCTTGGTGTTTTTACTACAGCTGCTCCCTAGACACTTGGTCTCTCCCCATTGTTTATTTTCAGATCTTTTTCATCAAATCACTTCTTCAGGTTTTTGAGATTCATCTGAATGACAGCCTTGTTATCCAGCAATTTGCTCCCTGCAATTTGGTATCAACCCCAAACTTGCTGATAGAATGTTCCTTTCTCTGTAATTACAAACCAACAAATCACACCTTTACCATTTCATCTGGCATCAGGTGCTGAAAAGCAAAGGCCTGTTCTGAAATCTTCACGAGGGACTCGGGTAGGAGTTGTGTGACTACAAAGAGGGAAGACCTGAATTTAAATAAAAAAATAACAATATTTGATATAAAACAGGCAATGACAACTGATCTGGTTAACAATTACTTGTGACTGAATGTGGACAGTCAACGTGCACACAAATCCCTTCTGACCTGGTAATGTTTCCACCCATGGCAATGTTTCTCACCACATGTACCCGGAAATGCCAAAACAAATATGTGTTTTAATGTTACTGCACACAGTAATCTTTTAATCTTTATCCAATATTGGGTGAAACTATAAACTACAGAAATATCCTTGTCTCCTTTTTTGACTTTTACACTATAGGATGGATGCAAAGAGGCCACAGCGTGAAGAGGAAATTGGCCCAAGACTTTTTAAATCCCCATGGAAAAATCAACAGGCAAGATTCCGTCTTGGTTAGAACAATGTTAGTCTGGAGACAACTCAGTAGCCACCTGAGGTTATTGGCATTGCTGGAGATTAGGATCAAGTGCTGCTACAACTGGACATGTCAATCATTAGCAGAGAGCTTTGTACCACATTCCCTTTGACTGCAAATTTCACATGTAAGGAATAATACACCCGAAACTCATTTCAGGGTATTCCATCTCTTCCAGTACAAGAAGAGGAAATTAAAATGGAACAAAAGCAAACAACCTCCTTTTTGGGTGAATTTGCACTTGAAAAATACACTGTTCTCTCTGGTTACTACTTGAATTTTGTAATACCTGTGACGTTGAGTCGCCTTGTCCTATCAGGAAACAGAAGAGCTATAAATCACCCTCCAGGGAAGAAGTCTGGTCACTGCAACAACTACCTGAAGAAAGACAGAAGAAATTTCTGATCTTCTTGGAAACAAAAGGTAGGATTTACATTGATTTGTTAGCTTTGAGTACTGTAATTTTTTTCATGTATTAAAATACAACCTATTGTCAGAAGACTTCTTGAACAATTTAGGGCAGTCTCAGAAAGAGGATTTTATTTAGCAAAAAATAAGGATTACATAGGCAACCGTGTAACAAAAGATGGGAAAAAAAAGGGGGAGAAAATTCATGAACAATCAAAAATGACAGATGAAAAGACACTATGTGCAAGAAAGAGCATCTTGGCAGATTATATGTACATTGAGAAAGGGACAGAGAGACAGTCAAACATATTGAATAGGGTATACATTGAGCTCGGTACATTTCATTGGTATATGTTACTATCATCACCTATTTTCAGAGTCATGAAATTACCACCTTGTTTAATTTACTCCTCTTGTGCAAGGTGGCTGCTAAGTAAGACTTTGTGCAACAATGCTGTACAAGTGGAATGCCAGAGACTATGTTCCAGGTCTTCTTCAAGGATAATAAAAACATAATAGGGATGTTCTTTTGTAATGGATATTCAATTCAATGAATAATTTAGGATACACCTTTTTTCTTTTTTTTTAGAAGGAGAGGTGGAAAAAATGTGTTCACACAAGTTTGCCAAATTGATACAAACTAGGGATGCTAAAGCACCATCTTTCAGTGGCAGATCCTGGTATACAGATGGATTTGCAGGAAAGTCAGTAAGACTTGGCACATGTCCTGATTTATGTTTGATTGAGGGGGGACAGGGGAGGGGGAGGGAGAGACTGATTTTAGGACCAATGCCTGGAAATTAATGCAGAGCAATTAAATTTACATCTCATAAACTGTAAGCATTTGGTTGAAATCAGTGGGATTGCCAAAAGTATGTTAATATCTTGGAGTGGGAAACCCACTGGGTCTTAAAAAGCATTCCAATGGCATTTTGAAACTTGTATCATGTATTAAATTACCAATTATATTTAATTGTAAGTTAATTCATAGAAAATATTACAGTGAATGAATACTTTGCCCATGTCTCTAAGTTAGCTTTACTAAATAGAAAGCTTCAGAATTTCAGCAAAGAGTTATTTTTCCTTTAAAATGTGTTTTACATGCAAAAAAAAATTGTTTGTTTTTGCATATCATCATATTTTGCTCTCAAAGGACATATTTTTGCTTATAACTTGAGTACAGCTAAAAATAACCCCCAGCTCTACTTAATTTCTAGTTAGAAATTAGGTGAAAATAATCATTTTTTCATGATATTGGGAGTATAATCTTTTGTTGTTAAACATCTAGATCAGATACATTGCAAAGTTTTGGAGTGGCTCTGGGAAATAAGTGTTCAAAAATTTAATAAGAAAAAAATTCTGTTATCCTATAGCATTTAAAGGAGTCACAGGTGATGTCAGAGCTCAAAGCAAGTGACATAAAGCAGTACCAAGAACAGGAAATCAATTACTTATACTGTTAATTATCAGTATGTTTTCCCCTGGATCAACCAGATTTTTTCTCAAGTACAGGTGTTTGGAATAAGTCACTTTATTCTGAAGGCTGTGAGAGTTTAATTGAACATATGTGACCAGTCTGTCTAGTTTTTTAGCCTCTGAGCTGCAGATGCCCATAGTCACAGTCCACTTCAAAGAGCTTTGCTGTTTAGCACAGCTGGAGCAGCATCTCTGCCTACAGGTTGGGGACTGTGGGTCACCTCCAGTGCCAGGTAATGAAGCTGGTGAGGAGCAGGGACCTTGCAGGACCAACTGGAAAAGGGTAGTTTTTCTTTTCCACATGTTCTCCACAAATACAAATAGTGTTCTCCAGGGCACCTTGTGTTTTATATAAACTGGTTGCCTCAAGGGAAAGGGGCTTTGCTGAACATGAAAAGATCAGCAAACCCTATTGGCCTTCCCCCAAGAATAACTTAAAATCAAAACCAGCAGCCCCTCAAAACCAAATAAGTTAAGCTAATAATATATCTCTGTGGTAACATGCCCATAAATTCCCCTGGGTGGGAGGCTGGGAAAAATGCCAAAATGAGTAAATTCCACTCTAGTCACCTGCTTGCCTGCCCAATGTAACAGAAACAAGCTGAATGTAACTTGTATGACTGATTGCAGATACCTGAACTTTGCAGTGACCTCCTGGGTCACTGGAGTGGGCTGATGTGGTGCTTTGAGCCTCCAAAGCAAGTGGAGACTTGGAATCCAGTGGATGCTTCTTCAATTAGAATCATATATTTGTAGAATATCCTGAGTTGAAAGGGACCCACAAGGGTCATCAAAGTCCAACTCCTGGACCTGCAAAGCACATCCCCAAGAATCACATGGTTAGAGAAGGTTCTGGTTTCTGTTGACTTTCTGCGCTTCCTGTAATATAATCAAGAGTTGTCTTGAAGCAGATTAAAAAAAAGAAAGCTTTCTGAAACAGGTCTTTCCTCAGTCCATTTCTGGCCCAACCAGTTCTGCCCCAGCTCACATGGAAGGCTTCACAATGCTGCTCATTGAGTTTCAGGGTTTGAATCCTGACTTCTGGATCTGCACAAAGATCAGTGTCTAATTCCCATTTCAACCAATGCACTCCAGTCAAAGCAGGCAAATGGGAGTAGGGAAATTTTCAGACTAACCTAGACATAGAAACAAGCTAAAAGCAGCATCCTATCCCATTCCAGTTTGGCAATGGGCAGAAGGCTTCTTACAGAAAGGGAAGCACAAACACCTCTGAATTCAGGTGGAGATATTCAGTCAGGATGACAGCAGAAAGTATGAGATATACAAAGCAGTTGATTCATAGAAATTTGGAAATGAGGGGGAATTAATTTTATTATTTTACTTCTAAAATGAGAGGAGGAAAGGAGAAAACAAAGAAAAAACCATATTACATTGCCACTTGGGCAAAAGTCAAGAAATAAACTGGAAAAAGATGCATTAAGTATCAGAGAAATGAAAGCTATATAAAAAATAAATTAAATCCTCATTCTCCCTTTTCAGAGATGATTCTGCCAGTGGTGTTCCTGTGTCTCACAGCTGTACTACCTCCATCCACTGCACAGGTAGGATCCACACTTTGTACTCAGAAAATTTGGGTGGGCCCTGATGGGCCCTGGTGGGCACTTGTGTTCTGACTGAATGTGGCTTTTCCTGTACACACCAATCCCATGCATAAAGAGTCTGATTAGATATCTAGGATCTGGAAAACTTTTATCTTTGAAGTCTGCTTCCATTCAAAGCAGTCAACTGGATGCACACTTGCACAATAAACCATCTAAAGATTCACTGTTACTTCTGAATTGGATCAGAGATAACTATATTTTCCAGAAGTTTCCATATACAGATCCAGGAATCAGGTTCTCCCAAAGATCTAGCCCTCTTCCCATTAGTTTCCCACAGGTTTACAGACAGCACTTACCTAATTCCTTCCTCGTCCTACGGGTCCTGAGCTATGCACCTCTCCCTTTGCTCAAAGATCCATCCTCTCATCATGTGTCCCTGATTTCCTTAAAATAGATAAATTAAGATACTGAATGCACACACATAGTGGTTCCACCCAACCCATACTTAGACTGAAGTCTGTAGTTTGCTACTTCTGCTTCAGAATCATTATGACTGAAGCCCTGATTACTTTTTTTTGTTTTGTTTACTTTTCCCTCTAACTCTTCTATTTCTGCTCTCCAAAGCTGCAGTCTAGAAGACTAGTTGAGAATGGATGTACAGAAGAGACTGAGTTCTTCACATGGCTCTTTTTTAATTAGAGAACACATTAGAAGTTTGAGAAATGCTATCAGTTATGGCAGAATTGTAACAAAATCTATGGCATGAAAGTATAGGCACTCATTTTCTGCTCAGAGGGATGTGCTGGTGAAGTACCACTAGAGGTCTGTGATGATCCTGTGATTAAACAACAGTTTCCCTCAATTAAAAAAAAATTGATAGGGATGGTATAAAATACAGAAGGGAACTACATTATAACCACATTCATGTCTTCAGCTGATTTTTAGATCCTGTTTCCTTACAACCTTATGTAGGAAATTACAATAATAGTAAATAAGCCTGATTTTGTTGCCTCCACAGAGGGTTGGAAGATAAAATACAGGAATCAGTGTTGTTATTGCAAAGCTCCATGCTGTGGAACCACTGTCATGCTGCTCCACATGGAAGTTCTCCTAGAGATACTTAGGAGATAAAGCAATAATCACAGAACCTCCTCCATCACAAGGATCGTCTCTTTGATCAATATAATTGATCAATACAATTATTTTGATAGTTTACCATTTCTTAGAAAGGATACAGGATTTAGTTACATTCAAATAAAACAGAAATATAACATGTTCTTCCCATTTAGGAACCTGAAGGTGTCGATGCTCTGTCAACGAGCAGAGTAGATCAGCAAAAGCTGATTGTTGATAGACATAATGCCCTCAGGAGAGGAGTAAAACCAACTGCCAGCAACATGATGAAGATGGTAAGTTGTGTGCTGTAAATCTATTTTTAATGAGTAATGGACTCTATGAGAGGCACAAGACTGTATGCAGGTTACGTTATTTTGTTTAGCCACAAATTCATTCTCCAGACCTTTCACAAGGATGGAGCATGGCCAGCACCAAGAGAAACATAAAGCTGGACAGATGAAAAAACCTCTGAAAAATGTTGTGTTGTATGAAAAATAAGGTCTCTTTCTTTTGGAGGAAAATGAAAAGGACAAGAAGGACCATGGCATTATTAATTTCTTTTTGATACATTATTTATCAGTCTCCACAGTTTCTGTTCCCTGGGTGCATAGTAACTTTTTTCCTACCCATCCCTTCCCCCCAAAAAGGGGGATGAAAAGGATTTTATATTTTATTTTTTCTGCTTTGAAATGTAATCTCCAAATGTTGTTCCCTTATGAGGGGTTATTCATTGGCATGTGTCTGAATGACTGGTATTTTATTCTTTCAATAAGGAATGGTGTCCTCTGGCTGCAGAGAATGCTCAAAAATGGGCCAACCAATGTACTTTAAGTCACAGTCCTCCTAATCTGAGGAGAACAGGTAAGTGAAGCACAAGTGTAACTGAATAATGTCACATATGTTGTTGATGTGACCAGTTTTGATTTTGTTTGTTGGGTTTCTTTTTGAGATACAATTCATATAGCATTTAGATTTTGTTGGAACAAAGGGAAATTTTTCAGTATAAATCTGTCCAGCAAGTGAGAAAAGTTCAATCCCATTCTCATCCCAGTTGCATCAGTTCTACATAGGCATATCCCACTTTCTACGGTAGATGAAAAAAAATCTTAGAGATAAAGCATATTTCTCCCAACAGAAAAAAGAGAATCTAAACCAAATTTAGGGCAGGAACCCATTTGCATGTACTGGCTCAAAATATCTGGAAAGAAAGGGGCAAGGGGTGAAGATCCAAAATTGGCTGGTGGTGCTAAGCATAATTTCTAAGACATAATAAATCCCCAGGCAACCTGCAGTCTTTGAGGTTCAGATTAACACTTCAGTCCTTGGATATTAAAGTTACAGCCACACTATGTTAACAATAGTCAGTGCCCAGTGTGGTGCTTACTGATTCTCTCTAGGTCACACTTAAGATATGGACAGTCTTGTCCATACTTTTTGTCTAAAACCCAAATTGTCTGGTTTTTGTTAAGGTGAATCCCAGATGAGAACTAATGCAGTAAGTTTGGACCTAAATAAAAACAGTATCTCAAGACAGTGTGGACACCTTCTTGTGTACCAGGAGTTAACTTTGGATTATTGGGATTTTCCCAAGATTACTTGGCTGTGACCTGAATAATGATGGTGTTGGTAACTTCCAAACAACAAAATTAGTCATGAACCTGTGCTGCACATGTGCAGGTGAATCTGCAGTCATGCAGAAGGTCTGTCAACAACCAAAGTACCAGACAGACAGGTTGGCCATGCTGCAAACTGGTCAAATGACAACCTCTGTATTAACAAGGAATGATGTCACAGAACTGGAAAAAAAACAACATCCTGCAGCTCCATCTGGGATGAGAATTTCTGTGAAAATCATCCCACCTTTTGTTGGGTTTTTTTGTTTATTTTTTCCCTCACACGTGTATCCTTTATGCTTTTCTCAGGATCTTTCTCTTTTCAGATGTACTATGTGGTGAAAATCTCTTCATGTCAACCTCCCCATTCTCATGGTCAGATGTTCTTCAGACTTGGTATGATGAGGAGAAAAATTTCAAATATGGAACTGGAGCAAAAACAAGAGGTGCTGTGATTGGCCATTACACTCAGGTAGATGCATTCATAGATATATATTTCAGGCTGAATAAATAAATATGTACACGTTAGCTAAGCAACTGTTACCATCTCATTTTTAAAGGAAATAAGTGTAATAGAGAACTAAGGAGTTATTCTGACAAAACAAGATGTAAACTTTCAAACTAACAGAATTAAAATGAAAATAATAGGCTAAGTGTCTTATGGAATAAAGAGTAAAGATAATGGTATTTCAAGACTTCAGGAAGAAACAACTTGTTTGTTTAACATCTGAAAATTGTCCAGACACTAGAAAAACAGGGTTATTAAAGTATCAGCAACAAAATATAAATGGGTTTGTTGCAGTCTACAAAGTTCCATTGACTCAGAGAGTTTCCAGTTGGTCAACAGCTTATCATAACCTCCTTTTGTTCACCTGCACAAAACACAGGACACAAAATTTCACATAATGATTCCTACATTAACAGTTTTCATTGAATGAAAGCATATGTAATGGAGACATTTTAACTCAGAGATTTTATATATGTGTGTGATTAATTATCATTATATCCTCAATATTCTTTGGTTGAATAGGAGTGAAAGGAGGTTTTTCAGCAAGGCGGGACTCATATTTTAATATAAAGGGCAAATAAGTGACTTCATTGCAAACATTTCTGTAATGCATATTGCATTTAAATGATTTTCAAATATGTATTTTTCATCCTTCGATGATTTTTATTCTTATACCTACAGATGGTTTGGCACAGTTCCTATAAAGTTGCATGTGGTCTCGCTTCCTGTAGCAACAGCAGATTCAAATACTTTTATGTCTGCCACTACTGCCCCATGTAAGTATTGATTCTGATTTTGGAACTTCTTATTGCATTATCAAAATTAGTTGGGAGATGGTGACATTTGTAATAGAGCACATCACTTATAGCTGAGGAAGAGGTTTGAAGAGTGTATTAGGAATATGAAAAGACAGAAAGATACTCATCAAAAGAGTTGTCAAACAAGCAAAAGCATAAAACACATAAAAGCAACATCCATTTTCAAATTAAATTTCATTTGCCTAAAAATCCCAATTTTCATAGCAGTAAATCAGAAAAAAATCGTTTTCAACATTCTACTTGAAATCTCGGTTCAGAAAGGCAGATCAATATGTACAGTACAGTGAAGACTATAATTAATACCAAATAAACTTTAGTGGGAATTTTAAGGTAGAGTAATTATTTCATGTGCTACCTAAAATTCATTTCCACATTCACAGTGTAATATCTTGTGGTGGGTTGACCTTGACAGACCATCAGTAGTCCACCCCTCTATGATTCTTCTCCTCAACAGGACAGGGGAATTAAAAATACGACAAAAAATTCGTGAGTCAAGATAAGGGCAGAGGAGATCACTCATCACCATCATGGGAAAAACTGACTTGGCTTTGGGAAATTAATTTATTACCAATCAAATCAGAACAGGATAAAAAGAAACAAACACAAACATAAAAACACCTCCCACCTACCCCTCCCTTCTTCCCAAGCTCAAATTCACTCCTGATTTTCTCCACCTCCTGCCCCTCAGCAGCACAGTGGGATGGGAATGGGGACTCTGGTCAGTTCATCACACACTGCCTCTGCAAATCCTTCCTCCTCATGCTCTTCCCCTGCTCCAGTGGGGGATCCTTCTCATGGAAGACAGTCCCCCATGAACTTCAGTGTGGGTCCTTCCCACAGGCTGCAATTCTTCAGAAACTCCTCCATGTGTTCCTTCCATGGGGTGAATTCCTCCAGGAATGGACTGCTGCAGTGTGGGTCCCCCACAGGGTCACAGGTCCTGCCAGGAACCTGCTCCAGCAGGGCCTTCCCATGGGATCACAACCTCCTTCAGGCATCCTCCTGCCCCAGTGTGGGATGCTCTGTGGGCTGCAGGTGGATCTCTGGTCCCCTGTGGAGCTGCAGGGGCGCAGCTGCCTCACCATGGGCTGCACCACAGACTGCAGGGGAATTTCAGCTCCAGCACCTGGAGCACCTCCTGCCCCTCTTCCTTCACTGACCTGGGTGTCTGCAGAGTTATTTCTCTCAGACTCGCACTCCTTTCTTCTGCACAGCAGTTTTTACCCTTCCCTAAATGTGTTATCACAGAGGCTCTGCTGTCACTGGTGGGCTCAGACTTGAGCAGCAGCAGGTCCAACCTGGATCTGGCCAGCACTGGCCCTGTCTGAAACAGGGGCAGTTTCTGGTGTCTTCTCACAAAAGCCTGTCCTGCAAATTCTCTCCCCCTCGCCCTCTCTGCCCACTGCCAAAACCTTTCCAGATAAACCCAACACATATATAAAAATTGACATATAACCAAAGAGTGAGTGTAAATTAGTATACATAAACACCTTTATAACTAAATTTTCATCTCAGATATTGTATAATGTCTTCATAGCTTATGTTGGTAATGTTGATGTTTCAGGGGGAATCTACTAAGTTCCATGAAGACACCCTACAAGGAAGGAGAGCCCTGTGGGGATTGCCCTAATGCTTGTGAGGATGGATTGTGCAGTAAGTTCTATTTCAATTGTGCCCTGGGTAAAGTTGATGCTTTAAAAAAAAAATTAATTTATACAAATTGAATTCTTTTGGAATTATTTGCTTAAGTACAGGGCCAAAAGCGCTATTACAGAATCCCATTTTACCATGTTGGTGCTTTACCTGGGTGGGATGAACTGTGGAATGAATCCAGAGAAGCAGGAGTCTGTGATAAGGGTGTGCAAATGTTAGACAGTGGTTGGTGTACACCAATGTCCAAGATCCCTTCTTTAAAGATGACAGTGTCTGAATCTCCATGTGAAATCTCTCATGAACACTTTCCATCATAAGAAGAGTCGTGATCTGCAAGTGAGGTCAAAGATATATTTGTACCAATGATAGCACAGAAGTGTGAGCTCCAGATTTCCAGTAGCAATACATGTGCTTTTCCATGCCCAGGAGAGACAATTCCCATCCTTGCATCTAGGAAATGCCAGGGAAGAAGGCGGCTTCTTTATCTTTTCTTCTTCCTCCTCTGAAAAACAGTGGCGGATCAGGTGGCAGTAGCAACACACTTGATGAGGGCAAGTAGCAGATCTGAGTTTTTAGAATTCTAATAGAAAATCAAAACATATGGGCTGAGCATCACAGTGCAAGGTTTAATTTCAGTCTTCTTTTATGGAATTAACCAAATTCTCACCATGGCCTGTAACATAAAGGAAGAAAGCTTCAAAACACCTTGCTGGTCCAGTGAGAAATCTCCTTGAGGGAACTAAGAATTTTGGATGTGTGCATTTGGATGCTACTGTGGAGTAAATCACAACAACAAGGAAAAAATTACAGAGAAAATAAAGGTCGATGAAAAATTATTCTGAAAAGAAATGCTGCAGGTCTTCATTTCCCGCTCATGATTAATTTTGTGTTTCAATTCATTTTCAGCCAAGTCTTAAAAGTTTGAAGATGTTTTTTTCCAACTCCCTTGGCAAAGTCTCCTGGAAGTACCCAGAGCTTTGTCAAGTTCATCACCCTGGTTCCTGCCAATGCAAAACTGAAACAAAGTAACAGGCTCAGCTTTTCCCTTCCTGGACATCCATCCCCTTTGTGACTTCTTTCACAAAAAACTGCTCCCATCCAGCCTCTCCCACACATGCAGAAGGATCAACTTCAGTCCAGTGACTCCCACAAGAAAAAGCTGTTGGAGGATGTATATTCTATTTGTGTAATGGTCTAGAACACAGAAGTCTCAATTGAAATTTGTCATTTGATTGCGAGATATATTTAATTTTTAGCTTTTCTTATCTTTCTTTTCCCAAAACACTGCCTAATGAGCATTGTTTAAAGTTCTGTGGTTCCATATGTTTCATATGTTCTCAGTATAAATGGAGGGTGTAACTAGTTTAACTTGATGGACATTTTAAATTAATGTACTGTTAACAGGACCAGAAAATAAACAAGATTGTTTGAAACATGTTTCTCTTATAGTATAAGATTGCACTTAGCATAAATACAGGTACCCAAACCTGCCTTCTAATGAAAAAAGACTGTCTGAAATAAGGGCTTTATTCACATTAACAGACAGTCAAGGGGGAAAGGTCCCTGTGTTTGGGAACTTTGTCTTTATTAACTATAGAGGTGCCTTTCAAAATTATTTTTGTAATATCTTCTTTTGCTGTATCAGTTATTAAATTACTCATTCTTCACTGACTAATTCATCTTAATTTTCATTCTTTCTTATTACCATGAAACAAATTTCACTAAACTTCCACCAACTTTATTAGCATTAGGTCTTGAAGGGAGACTAAATCTTTAGCAGCATAAGCACAAACAAGTAGTGTGAGAAACTGAAGATTTCCTAGGCAAAAACAGAAGCCAGGTGAACAACCTTCCATCAGACTCTCTTTCAGAAAGAAGTAACAATTAGAATAAATAACATGGAATCCCCACTCTGTGACCTTTGGGTGGCAAGATGTTCTTCTGTGCAGTCAAAATAAATATTATTTTAGTTTCACCTTCAAATGGCTTCACATTCCAGTCCTCTTTTAGTAAGAAAGCTGCTTGAAGATTTCAAGTCCCAGAGTCTTTGGCACAGAATAATTTCAGCACACATTTCCGACTCATTCATTTCCATGGCATTTCTTCTAGTGTGAAAATGACTATTAAGTAAAAAGCCCAATTTCACAACTCAAAGTGCTTGATATTTGGGCTGTTTTTTTTCCTCATCCATCTCCACCACTTTTCTCCTCCATGACATCCTGCCCTACCAGCTGGGGACATGTCTACTAGTAAATTGGGCAATGCCAGGGCATAGGTGTGAGAGCTGGAACATGATTGACTGCACCCTCAAATAATTAACACAGTTCCAAGTAAGAATGAGGATATTGCAATAGCTAATCCAATGTTGTTACCATTAAGGAAATAGGCAGAACCATTACCCTCATTTCTAAGAGAGTCCTTTACTATGAAGAAAGAAATCACAGAATCATAGAATCATTAAGTTTGGAAAAGACCTCTAAGATCATCGAGTCCAACCATTTACCTAACACAGCCACATCCACCAGTAAACCATATCCCTAAGCACCACAGTTGCACATTTTTTTAACGCTTCCAAGAGTAGTGATTCCACCACTTCCCTGAACAGCCTGTTCCAATGCTGACAACCCTTTCTGTGAAGAAGTTTTCTCTAATGTACAATCTAAACCTCCCCTGGCACAACTTGAAGACATTTCTTCATCTCATCTCTTGTTACCTGGGAGAAGAACCTGACCCCTACCTGGCTACAACCTCCTTTCAGGGAGTTGCAGAGAGCAATAAGGCTGTCATTTTCTCCAGGCTGAGCCCTCCCAGCTCCCTCAGCTGCTTCTCATCAGATTTGTGCTCCAGACCCTTCCCCAGCTTCACTACCCTTCTCTGGACTCACTCCAGCACCTCAATGTCTTTCTTGTAGTGATTTCTATTCCCTTCCACTGTAACTCATTATATAAGAACTGATTTTTCAATCACTCATAAGAGCAAAGAAGTAGTGTAATGAGGTGAAAATCAATCCTCATACATCTCACCCCTGAGGACCCAGGGAATAAAGGTCAATAAGCCTAATTTAGATCTCCAGGGAGATAATGGAGCAAATTGTTTACCTGTCATTTTGTAATCAGTAGAGCATAAAATATCAGCATGGATCCTTCATGAACTGATCTTGCCAAAACAAACTCTCTTCAGTGAGTCACTCAGATGAGTGGATGTTATTCTGGCTTTGGTAGCATGTTTGACAAAGCCACAAAAGTAATTTCCAAACTAGGGAGATATGGTTCAAATGAAAGTAATAAGACCTAGCACATACATGCTGTTGAACACACACATCTGTGATCCTCCTGTGCAGAGGGCGGAGATGGAGACCTCTGGCACTGCAGGGAATAGCTGCACAGATGGACAGTACCCACAGCCAGAGCTAATTGCACAGTTCTTCCATGTGATGTCCATAACCTTCCTCTGAGGGCTGACCTGGTGGAAAGCAGCTCTGCAGAGAAGGACCTGGGGATCCTGGCGGATAATAAGCTTCTCTGCGAGCCAGCAGTGTGCCCTGGGGGCCAAGAAAGCCAGTGGTATCCTGGGGTGCATTAGGAAGAGCATTGTCAGTAGGTCTAGGGAGGTGATCCTGCCCCTCTGCTCAGCCCTGGTGAGGCACATCTGGAGTGATGTGTCCAGTTCTGGGCTCTTCAGGACAAGAGAGACATGGAGCTCCTGGAGCAGGTCCAGTGGAGGGTGACAAATGTGATGAAGGGACTGGAGCATCTCTGATGAGGAAAAGCTGGGGGAGCTGGGGCTGTTCAGCCTCGAGATGAGGCTGAGAGGGGACCTCATCCATGTCTGTCAGTGTCTGCAGGGAGGGGGCAGAGGACGGATCAGACTCTACTCGGGGGTGCCCAGCAATGGGACAAAATGCCATGGGCAGGAACTGATGCCCAGGAAGTTCCACCTGAACAGGAGGAAGAAGTTCTTTCCTGTGCAGTGACTGAGCACTGGAACAGACTGTCCAGAGAGGGTGTGGAGTCTTCCTCACTGGAGATATTCCAGAACTATCTGGACACAATCCTGTGCCACATGCTCTATGACCACTGCTTTATGTGTGGTCCAGCTACTGATGTTTCTAGGGCATGAGGAAGGTTCAGTAACTGACTGTGATATCAAAGGATCATGTTGCAACAAGGCAGTGCTGGTAAAAGACTTAAAAGCCACTATAATATATTCTTCATAGCTGCAAGGCAGTGTGCCTTGTCCCTGATAGGTCCCTATGGTCACTGGGATCCCCACATCAGACCATACACTCCTCCTCTCAAGTCCTGTTCCTGCTTCATTTTACCTTTTGAGGTGAAACCCTCTGTACCCTGAAAACAGGACCTTCAGCAACTGGATGTGCTTGACTTGCCTGTACCCTGTACCTGCTCTGAGCTGCTGGAATTAAATTCCCACATTCCCTCAGAGACAGAACCATTCCTGAGGTATGGGGAATGGCTAAACAAGAATATGTTTCTAGTTTAAATGTGCCTTAAGATCTTCAGCTACAACACTCAAACAAAATAGAAAACAGGTCAAACGAAGCACTCGTTAGTTGAAACCCCTCTACAGTGTTGCTGCTAAGAATTTAGTGCCAGGGGAATACATTGCAGAGTCTGTTATGTATTTATCTCTCAGCTTATCAGAGGATGGTGTCAAAGAAAATGATAAGTAAAAGATAAGCTCATTCCAGACTGACAAGACCATGTTGTCTAGGTGGCTTGAACAGCGACACAGCAATGTGTTAACCAGCATCGTTAGCAGAATCAGGAGCAGGAATTGCATGCCTGATGGCACTTGTGAGGAGCAGCCACCATCTAATGAGTGCCACGGGTCCGTGGTTAGTGCCGTGTACTGCCAGCTACATCTGTGAAACAAGGTGAAGATAAAAGATAAGGAATAATAAAACGGGATGTCATTAATCAGCTCCTACAGAAGTAGTGTATCAGTAGATAGCATTTAATAATACATTGCCCCAAGCAGCTCAGTGTCTGAGCCTGATCTCATCTTCTGCACAAAGCATCTCCCCTGAGCCCCAGCTGTCTTTGTTCACTTTGTGAACTGCAGCATCGGACCCGCTCTGCTGTCAGTGGGTGGCAGCAGGAGGCCCATCCTGCCAGGATGGGATACACAATATACAGATTAACTTCTGCTGCATTTAAGGAAATAACACCAAATAACAAGGCCATTTAGGCTGACCCCTCACCTAATGAGCCATAGTTGCCAGCAAGTCCATGCATTACCAGTTAATATAAAACAAGATTATACAGGTTGAGCACTGGTTGGCCAAGAGGGACCACACAGCTCCTGAGTAAACCAGAGCAAAGTTTACCCATTAAAACATCAGGAAAATTAATATAGGGGGTAGGATCCATAGAATCATAGAATCATGGAATGGTTTGGGTTGAAAGGGATGTCAAAGATCATCTAGTTCCAACCCCCTGCCATGGATAAGGATACCTTCCACTAGAATAGGTCACTCAAAGACCCTTCCAACTTGGCCTTGAACACTTCTAGGGATGGGGCAGCCACAGCTTCTCTGGGCAACTTGTGCTAGTACCTCGCCACCCTCACAGGGAAGAATTTCTTCTCAATTTCTAACATAAATCTACCCTCCCTCAGCTTAAAGCCCTTTCCCCCTGTCCTATCTGTCTATGCCCATCTTGAATTACTCTAGCCATCTACAGCCAGTTTAGTCCTATTGACAGTCTTTAAAGGGGATAAGGGAGAGAAATCGGTGAGCTGGGGTGGAGCTGGGAGGCGAGGGATGTGCAGAGCAAAAGGGTGGTAGTTGAAAAGCCAGAAACTGAACAGTGGAGATACTGGTAGGTGGTTAAACACTGAGAGATTTTCTGCACTTGGTCAAGAGAAGAATTTTAAGAAGCACATTAGGACGAGAAGTCACAGAACACTCCAGAGAAGTGAAGTGACTAATCCCACCAGATGAACTAGTTATTTTCCCCGTATTCAAATCCTGAAAGCATAGAAATCATCTACAACATCACACCTTCATAGAAGACCCCAAATTCTTGATCTCCCTTCAATTACATTATAGATGATGAGTTTGGCCAAAGCAGACAGTGACTGAGGCACAGGAGGTAGCAAGAGGGAGAGGTGTCACCATAGAACCGTGCAGCCAAACAAATCATCTCTATAGAATCATAGAATGGCTCAGGTTGGAAGGGACCTTGAAGACCTTATTACAAAGTACATTTGTAACTAAAAGCTACCTGGCTTTTCTCTGTTATTTTCTCTGATTCTGACTAGACCAGCAGGTCACAGCAGTGTGACATCTGTAGGGCCAGTGAAGAGCAGTGACTCCGTAAGCACCTCTTGCAGAGCTATAACCAGTTGGGAAAAAAAATTTGTGACAGAAAAAAATGTACCAAAGGTGTCCACAGGAAAAATACAACTGAGAAGAAAGGATTGAAAAAAGGGCACATGGTCACACCTGTTTTAGCTCAGCTTGTCTCTCCCTTGTGTTGTCTCACCTGAATGCAGGTTAACAGAGATGTTTCTTTGGAGCAGAGCTGAGTGTGACAGTCTGATTTCAGGCTGTTCCTTCTCACTGAGTTTAGAGGAAGGGCAAAGTATTCACCTGTTCAGTTTACAACTTGCTGTGAGAATCTGTCACTTTTGACATGGTGCCAGAACATGTAAATTGTTTGGTTTCTTTCCCATAATTCCCATAATTCCAATCTCTGCTGACTCTGTTCATATATATTTTGGTCAAATTACCAGAAGAGCTTATTTCTTCCTTAAGCTGCCTTTGCCAAATCTTCCAGTAACTAAAGAATTAATCTAACTTTAATAAATCCCTAGGAGGGAATTCAGCCTTGACAGAGCCTGTTAAGAAATGTGGTTTAATTTTGTGTGCCTAGATAAAAAAACTTCTAATTTTCTAAAGCATTTTTCATCAAAAAGCCTTGGCTTTTTTTTTCCCCCAAAAAAACTATGCTTTCTCTTCTGTCATCAATATACAAACTGCCTGGATTTTCTTCCTCCAAGTGTTTACCTTAACTACTGAAATATCGTTCTAAAACCAAATAAAAGCTAAAAAAGGGTCAAAAAATCCCTATAATATATGATAAGGATATATATACACATATATATGATATACATATAATATATGTCCCTGACAGGGACGGAGTCCCACTAAACTAACAGATGCTTCAGGTTCTACAGATTTGACTGCAGATAGTTGGTTTTTTATTATATATTGATATAAATTATTGGGTATCAAAACTACACAATCAACCCCAGCTGCATCAACTGTGGAAGTGATTTAATTTTTATAACAGTGTGCATTTTCATGAACAAAGGTAAAATCACAGGACAGTGCAAGGGATACAATATTTCTTAGAAAATGCTGAAATCTGGTACCAACACTGGTGAGGCAGGAGGCCCTTTTCCTCCTCAGCAGAAAGACACATATCCCTTGAATCCTGCATAAACCTGGATCATATCCTGGCCACATCGGACACTGTGCGTGTGAACTGATCATTTATTTCACATTCATCAGCCTGATACACGTGCAATACTGAAGCCTTGCTGTGCCCCATCAGCTGTCATAGGAGGCTGCCCAGTGATGCCCAGTGCTGGCAGGTGTGTGACCAGGTGATTCTGCTCCTTGCCATGTCGCAGCTGGAATTGCAACACACTCACCAAGCTATGAAAAACTGCTCAGTCTTGTTCAGAAACTTGCCTTCATTGAAAATATAGGAGTGCCCTCTGGTGGAAAACCGAACAGCTGAAGTTTCAGTGTCACTAAAAATTTCTATTTTTCCTCAAATGAAAGTAAATATTTGTTACTGGTAAACCAGAAGGTCAAGTCAATTCTTAGTTACATCACTGAATATTTCAAGGCCAGGTTGGTCCTGAGCTTTGTCAATCTGCAAGGAAGCCTTCAGAGCCCTGAGGTTCCAGATTGTTAACCCAGGGTCAATGGTTAGATGAAAATGTCATAGAATCATAGAATGTTAAGGATTGGAAGGGACTTTAAAGATCATCTAGTCCCACCCCCCCTTCCATGGGCAGGGACACCTTCCACTGGTTGCCCAAGGCCTTATCTAACCCCGGTCTTCAGCACTGCCAGGGTTGGGACATCCACAACCTCCCTGGGCAACCTATTCCATCATTTCACCACCCTCACAGTAAATAATTTCTTCCTAATATCTAACCTAAATTTCCCCTCTTTCAACTTGTACCCATAAAAAGCATCTTCCATAAGGAAACAACACCGGGCACGGTACTTCAAATTAAAGTGAAAATTTCCAGGGACTCCTAGAGACACTCTCATCAACCCAAGGACAACTAAAGCAGCACAAGCCAAGACTGTAATTTTGGTTGCTCTGACATGAAAGTGTTTGCTGGTGATACAGCTGCCCTGCTGGGAGTGGGTCTGTGTTAATAACTCTGTGTCAGTATAAAGCCCTTCTGTCTGTATGTCAGTGTGTGTAGGTTTGAAACTTCAATCAGATACCACCACCTGAGCAAATCTATCAAAATCGTATAAAAATGTGGAAAATAGAGCTTATAAAGAGGTGAGAAAGCCTCTGTCATGACACCCACGCAGTTGTATCCCCAGATTGTCTCTCCAGCAAATTGCTGTGTGTGCAGAGTGTGTCCTTAGCCATCCTGCCCTGCCCAGGAAGGGGATAGATACATGGTCTCCATCAGAAAGCAAAGGGACACCACTCTCACAGGACAATTCCTGTCTGGAGCGGCATATTAGTGAGAATATTCAGAAGTGCATTGGGTTACATTCACTTTCTCCATGTTAAAAGTCTGAGCCTACATTTTAACTCGTGTGCTTGGTCTTTCCTGGAGGCTGGAGGTGCAAAACCTCCACATAGACTGGAAGTGGTCCCCTAAGGCATCCTGGGAAAACCTCTGCATGGAACTGCAGCATATAGAGTCATAAAGTCATAGAGTCAGAATCCTAGAATGGCTGGGACAGTAGAGGACCTTAAAGATCTTTTATTTCCAACTCCCTGCCATGGGCAGGGACAACTTCCACTAGACCAGGTTGCTCCAAGCTCCATCTAACCTGGCCTTGAACACTTCCAGGGGTGGTCAGCCACAGCTTCACTGGGCAACCTCTGCCACCACCCTCACACCAAAGAATTTCTTCCCAATATCTAATCTAAATCTCTCCTCCTTTAGTTTAAAACCTCTCTCCCTTGACCTATCCCTACCTGCCCATGTAAAACGTTGCTCTCCTTCCTTCTTTTTTAAGTCCCCTTTGAGTCCTGGAAAGCCACAATGAGGTCTCCCTGGAGCTTTCTCTTCTCCAGGTTGAACAATCTCTGTGATGCACAACTTTGACAGCCAGCTGAGCAATCTCATCCTCATCGATGAAAGAAAGAAAAGAAAAAAAAAAGAAAAAAAAGGAAAGAAAGAAAGAAAGAGAGAAAGAAAGTATTTAGGGAGGAAAATCAAGGTAAGGAGTAGTAATTTGCTCTTAAACTCACACCCTCAGATGATGACGTTCTTTTAAAGTAAATATACATTAACTTGTATAAATTATTATTTGATAACTTCAACAGAGTTTATGATTTGGTGCTTGGCACTAAAAGTATTCTTGGAGCAGATGAAAAAATTCCCTGATTGTACAGTATGGAATATTAGAGAAAAATTACTTTGGCAAACAGTAAGTTTCCTGGTAAACACTCTCTGGCCCTGTGGGAGTGGTACCTCACTGACTCAAAGTGTTTGCTTTCCACAGAGCAAAGGACAAGCAAGACAAAAGTCTATGGGACTGCAACCTGCAGATCTGTCATATGAGAATGTCACGATGTAAAAGCTTTTTTCTGCTTCTCTCCTAATGCTTCACAGGTATGGGGATAATCTAGGCAGTGAAATTTAAACCCCTGGCCATACACAGGGGAAATGCAATAAATCTCCATGTAAATGGTACTTGTGCAATGGAACACAGGACAGATCCACCTGCAAGATTACAGAGAGCAGTGAAATGGCAGAGGAGGAGTCAAGGCTGATGGAATTCACCTCCAATACTTAAAAGAATTAATTGAACAAACCTTTGAACTATGAACAAGTTTCAAGGCCAGGTTGGACAGGGTTCTGAGCAAACTGGTCTAGTGGGTGTCATCCCTGCCCATTGGAATGAGGTGATCTTTAAGGTCCTTTCCAACCCAAACCATTCAGTCATTCTATGATTCCAACACCCAATTACATGAAGGCAGTCATCATACAGCAGAAGTAATTTAGAGCTTTGCAAGGATGGATATGGAACTTCCACCGAAAAAAGGAACTAAAGGAGCATTTGAATCATTGACCTCATTTGATGTATCTGAATCAAAATATTGAAAAAGCAATGCAAAAATCCATGGAAGCTATGTTGATAGCAAAACACATATAATATTTCAAATTTCCATCAAGCAAGCCTTTGAGATGAAGAGGCCTCGTGGTAGCAAAGTCCTTAAAAGGGAACTTTTAAGTTTTCCTGTACGTACCCAAAGCAGAAATGTGAAACAAGTTACTCTGCTGCTCTGGTATGCAAACTGCTGGCACATGAGATAAGAACCTACTTGTGTTCAAGTGGGAGAATCAAGGCTCAAATAGAATAATTATGTCAAGTGACTGGATATGGTAAAGTAAGTACAGACAGTATGAGCAGGAAAAATGGCAGGGCTGGTTTGGTTTGCAATGACACTCACACCTACTGTGCCAGTAATACCATACAAAGTCAAGATTGCATAGGGAATGCTCAGAAATGTGGTTTGGATACATTAGAAGCAAAACTAGGTTCAAAGGGGAAAATGGGATTAGGAAAGGACTGTTTTTTTGAGAGGAGTTGGAGAGGAGGTAATGGGGTGCGAGGTCAGGAAAAATCTGGGGTCAAACTCAGAAAAAATGGAAAATGAAGAATAGAATCAAAGAGCACTAGAAAGTGAATCTTCTGGCAACAAAAGTGTGGACACCTGCAGACATCAGTGATACCAACCTGTGGACATGAGTCCCCCAGAACAGCTGAGGGGCACCCACTGAACAACCCAAGGTACTTTTTATCAGGTCAACTTCTTGGCAGGGGGAAGAAGATTGGATCACATTATTTATAAAATTGTAATTTGATAGTGGATCTGTACCTTAAATTAGATTTAAGAGCTATAATTAATAATTTCATAGTTGCACATACTGCCTGCATTGCTATAGAGCAGTCAATTAATATTAATAGAATGACTTGTGTAGGAAGTGACCTTAAATATCAAGTTCCAAACCCCCTCACCATGGGCAGGGATGCCACATACTAGACCAGGTTGCTCCAAGCCCCATCCAACCTGGCCTTGAACACTTCCAGGGATGGGGCAGCCACAGCTTCTCTGGGCAACCTGTGCCAGTGTCTCACTACTCTCTGAGTAAAGAATTTCTTCCTAACATCTAACCTAACCCTGCCCTCTGTCAGTTTGAAGTCATCACCCCTTGTTTAGCCCCTCCAGGCCCTTGTCCACAGTCCCTCTCCAGCTCTCTTGGAGCCCCTTTATGTACTGAAAGGTGCTCTAGAGGTGTCCCTGGAGCCTTCTCTTCTCCAGGCTGAACAATTCCAGTTCCCTCAGCCTTTCACATTCATCTAAGCATTTAGTTCAGTTGTGAGTCCACAACTTCCTGAGGTGCCCCAGGGTTTCCTGCCAGGGCTCCAGCTACAATCTGGAAAGGTACAGGTCTTCCACATGTACTTTGCAACATCTTTAGCGCTGCAAGGGTGTCTTGGACATCTTGTTTTATATGAAATGGTGCCAAGTGCCTCCGTACATGTTGCTACATTTATACTTAGGTCTTCACTAACCTGGAAGATCTCCTTCCCTCTGTCAGATTTAGAAATCTACATTTTAGATACTGTCTTTTAGTCAGACACAACTGTATTTTATGACTTCTCTCAAAAGAGTCTATTCATTGATTTATGAAGAATTGTATGTATTTGCTTTTCCCTCCCTTTTCCACAGAAAAGCATTAACATAAGCATGTGTACCAAGATATCGATACTGCTGTGAATAACTGGATATTCTCCAGCAGCAGAAAGCTGTAAAAGATGTGTATCAGTTTCAATCAGGAAATATTATTTCCTTACCAGTTATTTTTCTGCAGTCCCTTACAGAACAGAGTGTTCTAGGTTCCTCTCTCTGGAATGAGTGTATATTTTCTATCAGATCATGTCTCTCTAAAGGGGAAAACATTGCAGGATGCAGAAACCAGAAATCTGTGCCTCTCTTTACAGCACTTTTTCTCAGGGTCTTTTTCAGGAAATTACATACTCCTTGCCTTTTTTCCCATCCCATGTTTCCTGCATGTCAGGCTGTGGAATGGTTCAGCTTTAGTGAGGGGTGTGGAAAGCCCTCTCACTCAAGATATTCTGTGAATGTCTGTAAAATACTCTCTGGTTATGTAGGTTAGATCCATCTTTTATCATGTAGTTTCCAAATTCAGAGTGTTATAAAATCTATGCTACTACAAAAAAAAAAAAATTGTGAGAAGCCACTCCACAAAGAACCTTGGCTGTGTCTATATGCAGTTAATTCAGGAATTATTATGAGTCAAACTGCAATTAATCAGCAATATCATTTCCAAATAGCTCTTCAAGCTTAGATTCTGTGATTTTAAATGGAGATTCAATGAATACTTCTTTTCACTGCTCCAAATGTTTATCATTTTCTTACTACAACCAGTCCAATGGAATGCTCCATGTAAGATTTACTGATTTGTAAATTCGATTTTCCTTATATCTTTTACATTTCAACATAATTTTCTGTTGCAACAAGTTCAAGATATTTTTTACCAACTGAACACTATTACAAGAAGACCAACCTTCTTTCTATGCCATCTACAATACCTCTGGTTTACTCTTAAGTCAAATGCAGGAAAAGGCTAAAATGCTCATATATAAACATTTAAGGAATATAAGCATGTAAATAATTAATTTAGGGCCCACCTTTTTTTAAAGATTTCACAGTAGAAGATCCTATATTGTTGTCACTATTGTTAAATTAGAGAAAACCTTTTTTCAAGCAAATTCATGAAGCAAACAAAAAAGAATTAATGAAAATCTTCAATTTGTGTAGCTTTTTTTTCACAGACACCCATGTCTGAAGTCATTAACAGTGTAAACTGAAGTTGAGCCTGTAAAACAATTTTTTTCTATGAGTAAAAAACAAATATCTCCAGATCATCATTAAATTTGAGATGTCAATGACAGTTTTAGTCTGCATTTCTTTGTGTCTTCCACTATTAGCTGGAGGAAAATGGGTGTATTTTCCACTTTCTTTGAAAAAAAAAAAGACATAAATAGCTCACCTATATCAAAAGTCAGTTTGCATTCTAAGAAATGGTACTTTGGTTTGTTTTCTCTGTTTCCTGTTCATCAGATTTATTTTAAATAACAGATTTGGTCTAAAAGATCCGCTGTGCATGACTATGTTTTGTTTGGTTCTGACTATTGCAGAAGAAGACATGTCTGAAAAAAATAGTGCTGTTCTACGTGAGGTTTCCATGCTGAATTCTTCTGTGTTCACTTTCCTTGTATCCTTCCATATTATTAACATTCACTCATGACAACCATTGGTTTATTTGTTTTATGGGAGAGATGCGATTGAAGGGATGTAGCTTATCTCTCTCATTGACCCGTATCTGATACTTTCACTTATTCTAATCTAATATTTTAAATAAATTAGATATGCTGCTTCCTAAAGGTGACTTTTAAAGTGTGTTTTATCTATTTACTAAAAAGGAGATGAAAAAGTCTAGCTCAAATACAAGACTTTCACTATTGAGTTGTCCCAGGAATTGGAATGAGTTTTACCACAGATTTCTTTTCTGGAGGCAGATTTTTGATGTCCCATGGTATAAAATTAGAAAATGTTTCTAATTAATTACTACATCCAAAGT